CCAGTTTGAAGAAGAACAGAGTAGACCATGCTGAAGGAACACGATTGGCTTGGATGGTACATCTTTACATTTGTCATGTCGCCCATATGGAATGTGTTGAATGGACAGAATGTATCCATCGTCGGTGGTGACGTCATGGTTTTCCACAGGGTACCCGTTGTATGCTATCATTTGACTCTGGTGACAAAAGATGACACATGAATGTTAATTAAATAATTTTGACTCTGGTTAGCGCTGTGTTGAACTGAAATATAAATAAAAAGTAAAAGCCTCTGTAGACCTAATGAAGAAAACTAGGTGTAGCATTCTTTACTAGGCCGTTTCGACTATTAGAAAACGATCTAATCGTAATAGGACGTTTGCATGATGGCGTCAGATTTTGAATCCCACTACCATAATGTTTCGCGAATTTCCTTTCTTATTTAAATTTGTATTCCATCATGAGAATAGTAAGACAATTGGTGCTAATTAACTGAACAAAAGAAAGTGTGCAAGGGGGTCTGGTAGTTGAAGTCAATGACRCCATCATGCAAACGTCCTATTGTGTTTGGTTTTCATTTCAATTGTAAAACGTCAAGCTTTAGCCATGATATATCTAATACTTCATTGATTGTCAAAAATACCTTCAGCCAATCTTATTTTTTAGCAGCTTCTTGAAAACGTGTTAAGATGAAAACGGCATGATATTTCATTGGCCCCACCACACCTATACCCCCTAGAACACCTTGGATCCGCCTCTCGTTTTGCCGCGTGACTTGCGCGTGACGTTATGTGACAATACATGACCTTTCCTGCAGAGATTTCACCTTTCAGCTTCCGTTTTCACGATCAAGCTTGAAAACGAAACTAACCAAAACCTATTTCCTTGGTCATTATTACGATGAAAAATTATTTAAATAGATACAATGATATATATAATATCGCCCTTGCAATTAGTGAGTCAGATATTATRACATTCGTTGGCGCAAATGTGGGTCTAAATTCACTGAATAATTGAGCAGATTATGCAAGATTTGGTCAGCAGAGAGTTCAAATAGTTTACTCGTCAAAGGTCGTGGTTTCAATATTTTGGCCTTACTACTACTATTTACCCAAACCAAAGTAGCAAGCCTGAAATATAGGACGATATAAAATAATTTGAAAACATTGACGTGGCTACATTTTCTCACTACAATTTTTCAAAGATCATTCAGTGCCCGGGATTCATTGGCACACTTGAAAGCACGCATCAAAACTCGCACTGCTTTATTCTTTGATCAAAACAAACAATATCACAAAGAATAAGACCTTCAATCAAAATAAATACGCGAAATCTTGATAAAGTAAGCGGTAACGGCTATAGTAAGCGATAATTTTATATCCTAAGTAAACTTTTAATTTTTGCCAATAGATAATGATGTGTAAGCTCATATACAGCAATAATATTTGTGAAGACGTTTGAGGCAACCATATACTTGCACACTAAAAAATTTGAGGCCTATCCCGAAAAATCCTAAAGACAAGTTTGAAATATTTTTGTACAAATTTTATACCAAGTTGTACAATTCTTTTGTCTTACCACATTCATCGACACTTCCGGTAGCTCTTTTCCTACATGTGGATTTGGTCTCCCATGAAAGTATACTTGCCTCGCAGAAGCGATTCCATACAAACACAGAAATACAAGCGCGTACATTTTGAATGCACCTGTGTGTGAGTTCAGCTTTATTTTTCGGCCACTAAATCACACAGTAACAGAGCAACGTACTCAGTAACAGCGTGAGTTATTGGGCTGAAAGACCCACTGCGAAACTGCGTACTCTGCAGGCTTGTGTAATATTATGAGGAAAGTTCAAAACCGATCGCGTTTCATTTATGACAAACACGTGATCTTGATGGAGCGCGTGACGCAATCTTGTTTTTATTCTATTATCTTATTTTTTTAAATTTTTTCTATTTTCAACCCTCGTTCGGTAGAATTTGGTGGCGTTTGAGTTCGACCTGAATTACCCTGCCTACATGTAGCAAAACCTGAAAAACAAATCATGAGTTCTATATTTTAGGTGAAGAACTTTGAGAGTCGTTTGAATCTTAGGTTGGCCTTACCAGGCCCGCAAGCCTATTACACAATAATCTCATCATGCACCATCACGTCCACATTACATCAAGAGCAGGATCGGACAAACGATCTATTACAATAAGATTGATAAAGTTATCATCACTCAGCCTCGGTTGATATAACTTTACCAAATACTTCAAACCCGCTTGTAACCCGAAAATATATGTAGTTAAGTCCCTTATCCCGAAGTGTCTCTTTGATCCGGACCTCACGTGTACCCTGAACCGAGAGTGACTATTGGTGTATCATGTGGTTTTGTCCTGAACTTGACATGTATATGATTTGTTCCAAACACGCAGAGACATACGCCACTTTCCTTTAAATACACCATTGTTCTACCTCTTCCAAGGTTTATAACTTGCGGCGTTCGTTGGCGATATTAACGTAACATCAAAATTTATTTACAGAGCTGAAGGAGCTTTAGTTTCGACATTTACTTTCTCTTTCGTTTCTATCGCTTATCACCAGATACAGTATTGAAAGTGTTCGATTCGTTACTGAAGTGTGACCACATTTTACTCGTTCTTCATCCCTTGTGAATAAATCTTATATCCAACGACATTCAAGCCAGCCATGAAGATGTTTATGTTTCTCCTTGCCATGGTGTTTGCAGCCAACTTAATCACTGGTGTGTTAAGCTTTGATCTATATGCGACTCTAGATAAGGCCTCGAGAGACCCTCTGCCGGAAGAAAACATGAATGTGGTATGTATACGTATGACAGTCATAATACTTGAAGTGATCTCATAATGGAATCATGTCACATTATAAACCACTGAACCCCAAACAGAATGGTTATCGAAATCAGAGATCACGGGGTATCATATCATCCATGATTATTCTTGAGCTGAACAATCATTACTGTCATCGCCATCAGTGTCGACACAGAACAACGTCACTGTAAAATTAGAGTTAGTAAAATGATGTTAATTTTTTTATCATCTAGCTTTAGTGGTCTCTAGTTAGTGGTATTTGTAAATTGCGATAGAATGAAGTTTACCAAGAAGACAATAATGCGTTCCACGCAAAGCCATAGCGGGGATCCTAAAATACTTCATCAATTCTTCGATACGCCTGACCTCCCGTAGTATTTGCCCTGTGTATTGGGTTTGTCTGGGTTTAAATTGTCAAAGCAACTCACATTAGCGCAGGAGAGTTTAAGGAATCCTGTTTGTGCATGTTGATAAATTATTAACCTTTCCTGTTTTCTTAACACCATAATAATCCATCATGTATATTCATCATCATAATCACCATAATCAGGCATCATCATCGTAATCATCGTCAAGATCCATGACCATCATCATCATCATCATCACGACCATCATCATCATCATCCTCACAATCATCATGTATGACCATCATCACTCATCATCATCACGGCCATCACCATTATCATCATCATCACGATCATCACCATTATCATCATCATCACGACCATCACCATCATCATCTTCGCAATCATCATGTATGACCATCATCATCATCATCCCAACCATCACCATCATCATCCTCACAATCATCATGTATGACCATCATCACTCATCATCATCACGGCCATCACCATCATCATC